AATCCGTATCGACTTAGTCTAAATTAAGTAACTAATATATATCAAACATCTCACATCCATCAAAAAATGATTATTGTTAAAGTTAAAATTAATTTATACATCATATTTGTATAAAATTTTAATAATTTATATCTTTACTGTTAATTATTAAAATTTATTTATTTTTATCATATTTATTAAATATAATTATTTTCTCATCTGAAAAGTCATAATAAAAATCTAAAAAGGGGAATTGTTAAGATTTTGCATAAGTGTAGTGTTTTATATTTGTATATAAATGGATTCCTGTTCTATACATAGAGAAAAAAAATGTATATTAGTCATAACTCTGAAAATAAATTCAAGTTTTAACTTTAAATGATTTATTTTATTTTATTAAAACTTAATTTAAAATTTAAAAATTTATCTTATTAAATATTGATATTTGGATTTAGAAATTGATTATATCACCATTAATATTTAGTAGATTTTATTTAATTTTTTATTTTTCACATATAAATGTTAAATAAAAATTTAATAACTTATATAAATAATAATTAAATTTTTTTCTTACATAAAATTTTTATCAATTATTTTTATTTAATAAAAATAATTTTAATTATTATTTATATAATATATTAAAAATTTATCTAAAATTTATATTTAAAATTTTTAAAATTAAATTACATCCACTAAATTTAATAAGGGAAAGTATACCCAAATACTTCTTTTTTGGTTAAACCCCTATTTTGGTCCCTCAACTATCGTACGGACCCCTGACTTAGTCCCTCAACTCAAAAAATCCCTGATTTGGTCCCTACTGTTTACCATTTTGACCCCAATTTAGTCCCTCCGCTAAAATTCCAGTGACATGTCCCGTTAATTAACTAGAGAATAATGACGTGTCCAAATAACTTGACACATCATATGCATACCTGAACAAAAAGACAACACGACAAAAAAAAAATAATGACATGGAAAAAATATATATAAAAAACTTAAAAAATTTTTTCTTTTTCCTTTTTCTTTTCTTTCCCTTTCTTTTCCCCTTGCAACCCAACGCCTACTGGGTTCCTTCGAACCC